GAAACCAGTTATTGTTATCCGAGAATTTTGCGAATAGTAAACCACTGAGAAATAAGCTCACGAATTTCAATAGATTGTGTCGTACGGTGAAAATGATGTTAAAAAAAACTCTGACACAGATATTCCACCAACTTGTGAATTTGTAGCGAAAACCTAACTGTTGTAGACTTGAAAGTGTGGGACTAGTGGAATTCCCAAAATAACCTGTTACAAGCGGTAGCTCGAAGTGCGGCAGCTGTTGAGTGTAAATGAATGCTTACAGGGAGATGTGAAGAATTTGCGACGAGTTGCATACGATAATAATCGCTTCAATGTCGCTGCTTTCGCGCAGACTTATTGCAGTGCAACGAAGTTAACGGCCGAAGGAGAGGCGGTGTTGACCGGGAACCAGAACCTGATAAATGCAGTGCTTTCGCTGAAAGATGATGCCAAAGCTGGACAGGCTAAATGGGAGCCAGTGCTGCTGAGTGAGGTAAACATTCAGCAGTTTTAATGCGAACAGGCGATTGATTACGAAGACGGGGAGAAAGAGTGCTGCACATTGAGAATTTCGCCGTGCAAAAGCGAGGAAAGGATTGCCGAATCTGAAATTGTGTGGCCGTCGCAGCAACCACTGAAAGATTGTAGAGTGTACTGTTGACCCGAAGGTGTGCTCTGATGAAGCGATAGTAAAGCGTCGGGTATTGCTGAATGTTGAGGAGCAACTAGCGCGTCTGATTTCTCCTACTAGCCGGCAGTTTTTGGTGCTTACTGGTTGAATTTTTCTTTTCTGGAGCTGCTTGAGTCGAAGATGGCGATGATTGAGCTGTTGTTTTCGAGTGCTGAAAGTGTAGCAGTGAAAAAAAATCTTAGAATGTATGCTGGACCTGAAGCTTACTTTTCACACCTGCTGATCAGACTTTTTTTAAAACTGCTGTGAATGAAAAATCCCTGGCGGTGTACTAATTGGGTGCTTTTTGAGGATAATGTTGCAGCAGCGTTGCGGTCAGATGAATCGTTACATGTTAGGCCACGCAACGGCAGCTATCCAGATGACACGTGGTGGCCGCGAAGGTATCAACGCGCTGCTTGACAGCAGTCACTCGCAGTGCCTCTCAAATCAGCTTCACATTTTCATCAGACGCAACGTCCCATTCGAAATACTGGCTTTTCTCGTGAAAACTGGTTGGGTATGTATGCTTCACACGAACAAATCTTTCATTTTCCGATTTACATGGGCTAGTGAAGAGATCAGAAAAACGCCGGACCTACTCACGGGAGGGGTGAGCGGAGGGAGAGTAGGGATGAGAGTGAAGGGGTCTGCTCTTGACAGCGATTAGCATGAGCAATGCCACAGTACTGTTGAAATTCAAGCAAGAATGGGTTTTCGAATCGAAAAATACAAGATTACCGTGTAGTACCAAAAGCCGGTTCGCTGCACTGAAGTCAAGAATTCCAAGACGGCTGCGATTTTTGGCGAAAGCGGGCCAGTTCTGTGTGACGCATTCTGTTATCTTCGGAACTGTGGCTAAGCTGCTGCACATTTGAGGTTAGGATTTCGGACGACAATACTGCGCATGTACTGTATAATTTTGTTTCAATAGCCTTATCGAATAATTTGATTTGCGTTCGTAAATAACGCTTTCCCATTTTGTCAGATCCCAGAAATACTCCAGTTGCCTTTGTGTCGAATATGCGCTTGATAGCTTTTTGGCTTCCAAATAGTTTTCTAGTTTTGTGTCTTTCTAATACAGCAGCATATCTTTGAATTCAACTATCACTGCTGTGTGTGTGTGTGTGTGTGTGTGATGCACTTTATCAGCTGATACAACTACTGTGTAGGATTTGCTGGAGCCAGTATCCCAAGAAGTGTTTTATAGGCCGATTTCGCGGATAAAGTATACAAAGCAGTACGTTATGGGCATCGTCTGCTGGCAGCTTATATGATAAAGGCTTATTCATCCTACAACTTCAACGATTTGCATTCGGAAACATTAACGAATAACACACAGCCACTTAAGGTTAGGGGATTTTTTTATTGTTACAGGTTAGGGGGATTTTTTTATTGTTACAAAGACGTTTAAACTTTCGAATGGGTTTCCTGTATCAGCATCGAATAAAGAAAACTGAGAAACCCAAAGCCAGGAGGACTAGTGGCTTAAGTGCTAGAAGCTGTAGATTTGTCAACTACTGCGTCGATGGTACGAATGTCTCTTTCGAGGATCCTCATGTTCGCTTCTGAGTGCCCTTCCACTTCACCGGCGCATTTCTGCTAGCATTTGTAGTACGCTGCACTAGCCCACGCTTCATGAGTGTTTCATATTTTTATCAGATTTCGCCTGTAGTTTAAGTGGACCACGGTACATAGTAATATGTATTTTACTGCTTTTTTTCCTTGCCTCTTTTTTTGTCTTTCGAAATCGCTTTGGATAATCCAGTTTGTGCGCAGTATTTTGATTTTTTAATCGTGAATCAGTGCTGACTTTCCCGGATATTAAAAAGATCAAAAGATTTATTTGCTTCCTCTTGGATCTTAAGAAAGAAAACCGTGGATCAGCAGCATAAGGACGAGTATTAGAGCTTATTTTCGAAACCGAAATAGAGTAGGGCTTTGTGAGGTAAAACCATGCCACAGCGTATTGGTCACTTATAATCATAATCTGCTAACTGCGGTGAAATTGCTGAATGCGGCGTTAACTTTTTAGAAGTTTATGCCGATCTCAATAACGAAGAAAGGACGCTTAAACCGGGACATAACGCCTTTCCATACTGCAGCCATAAATCCAAATGTCGCCTATTTAAAGGCATTGTTGGCTGTTGGGCAGCAGTACGGTCCAGATTTGGATGGGTGGTATGTTTCTGTTTCAGTCAAAACTCCGTCTTCCATCAGTCTTTTTGTGTTGTAAAATTGGGAACATTGAGTAAATCGAACTTAGTTACCATTCTTGCGCTGGTCCACGATCTTGTGGAATATAGTTGGTGGTAATTTGAGAACGAAGATACTCCACAGAATTTAGTCCTTATGTAAATAATTTAAAAAACAGTGTTTTTAGCAGTCCCTAATTTTTTCGGTTTTTTTTTTTCGTTTTTTCAGTTTTTCTTTTAGTTTCCGAATACCTTTATGCGTTAGTCGATATTTAGGGATGTTATTCATTATGCGGCTGCTTGCGAAGGAACTGGGCCACTGAAGCACCTGCTCAGCATGGGTGTTTCGCCAGTTATTTTAAACAAAAAGAAGCAAATGCCCTTGCACTGTGCTGCTAAAGCTGGCCGTGAGGAGAATGTTAAGGTTTGCTGCTTTTTATGTTAACTGCGAATACGAAGTGTTCTGGTGGCTTGGAAATTTCCTTTTTTTTGATTTGGATTGATTTTCACTTTTTGTTTTAGTTATTTTTTCTTTTTCCTCCTTTTACCTTGATACTACCAGTGCAAAAATGTTTCTCCCCCGTAATTCCTGTTGCTTTGATATTAGGTTCACACTTTGTTTTTGAGGTACTGCTCAAAGCAATGCAAAAGCACGAGATGGCGATGTTGAAGCAGCAGCAGCAGCAGCTGGAGCGGGAAGAAGCGGATCCAGAACAAGGTAACCAAATGGAAGACACTGGCCAGGGCTTACCGGATGAGCCGCCGCCGCCCAAAAAAAGGGCCAGGAGGGCAGTGTCGAAGAGCAAGTCAGCACTTATAAATGCAAAAGCTGTGCGTGGAAAGACGGCGCTTCATTATGCCGCTGCGAGGAGCCATACAAATGTTAGTCTCAGTTGCGTTTCTCATTTGATATTTTAGCCGGAGCACTGCATCTGGCTTCATAGCACTTTTTTGTAGGATTTTTTGGCGGTCTTTTACATCATCACGTTGTAAAGCTAATCGCACGGGAGCGGTTAGTTCATAAGTGTACTGATCGTCACAGCGCTGAAGCCAAAACGAAAACGCATGGGCTTTATCCATGCATTAACTTTTTTGAAGCAGTTACTTCCATTTTTGGATCATTTGCCCTCAATTGTCTACTTATGTTTCCTATACTTTATTCTCGTCATTGATAAAACTCTGTTGCAAATCAATTTATATTTGGGTGCTTCGTGTTGCTGCACTTTCTGAAATACGGAGCGGTCATTGCTAATAAGATCTTTTCTTCCACTGCTACATACTGCAAGGACAGATTATAACTGCAAATCCTCACCAAAAATAGCGCGTAGTGATATGCTCTCAGTGCTAATGCTTCGTTAGCTCTTCTGAACTGGGGGTTTCCAGATTGATAATTCCAACCGTGCGTTATTTTAGGAGGTTGTTCATGTAAAAACAGTGAAAATATCGGCAATTTTCGAGAAGGGACTAGTAGAAAAGCATGATTGAATTATTCTTAAACACAAAATTTACAGGTTATTGAAGCGCTCCTGAGTGCGCAGGATATCCTGGTGGATGCGCAGACATCAGCTTCGAACAAAAAACTCACGCCACTGATTGTCGCATGTGCAAAAGGATATCTGTTAGTAGTATCTATTAAGCTTTTTGTATCTAAATTAAAAAAATTTACCATCATTATGAGTCACTGAGGCAAAAATTATCTCATGTTTTTTAAAAAAAATTAGCTAATTACACTGGCCAGCGGTCTTCTCATCGTACCATATCTTGACATTGTCTACAAAAATGAGAAAAACTTCTCGTTATTATTGCAACCCGAATTGTATCACCCCAAGTGGTTTCTTAATAGTGGTCCTGGCATTTGTTTTCGTGCTGTCTTTCTCCACCTTGCAATTTGTATTGCATTCCCTGCTTCACTTGTGCTCATCCATCAACGATTCAATAGCCTCCTAACACAGTGGCTTTCATCTCTAGAAGAGATACACGAAGAATAGATCAGATTGAATGAGGTTTTCCGACGTCGGCCTTTTGTTGTGAGAAGTTCCAGATCCCTACTCGAAAGAGAACGTATTGGTCTCTATTTTTAAAAATGGACTTTCAAAATAAAAAATTGTTTCGAGACCCGTATCATCAAACAGGAAGCACACACAGCACTGCTGATTGGTACGAATTGTAAGCAAAAAGTGCAGGAACCTTACCGCATCTTAGTAAAATTAAGCGTTCCGCAGCTGGCACTTTGAGCGACTACAGCGATAAAGAGCACTAATTTACAACATCTTTCAGTGAAGCAGCAAATCTTCTGATCGATGTTGGTGGTGCCGTTATTGAAAAAGGTGATAAACTGAAGAAGACTCCGTTATCTCATGCAGTTATCAATGGCCAGGCACATATCGTTGCTATGTTGCTCCGCCGGGGCGCCTCACCTCTTTCGGCAGATACCTCAGGAAATACGCCGGCACATTATGCTGCTGCTTTTGGATGGTATCATCTTCTGTTTCATTTTGCTTGCAGTGTAGGAATGAGTTCTGCTGCCGGCTTCCTCCCTGGACCGCGTT